GTGAGAACAGGGTCAACTGTGCTCTCTTGGACTCCTTGGCCATGAATGACTGTGGGATCGTTGAGACTCTATTGCCTGCAATAAGACTCAACCCTCTTAACCAGCTGCACCTCTGAGGAGGCAGTAGTGAAGTTTTATGTAGACTTGTACTCTATAAAAACTGCTCTTTAAATGAAGGTCACATAAAGCGTGTGACAGTAGGGCAGGTGTTAAAATGACAAAAAAAGTGCAAAGTCAGAGCTTCTATTGGAACCAAATAGAAAAAAAACACATTTCTAATCATATTATGAGAATTTATAGTTAATTCTGTATCTCACAGATTCCACGATCTTAAAAGGTTAAGATCAGACAATGTTCAGAGAAACAAGGTCAGATTCCTGCACTGTTAAATGGCAGTAAGTTACAGTAATTATTGGTTTGTCTATTATTTGATTTTTTATATTTTTTTATTGTTAAGGGTCGTACTGAGCTGCAAGGTTTGTCTATTGTTATTTTATTTTTCTGTGGTTGTTTGTTGATAAGACGTTGTCTAGTTGTGTGTTTGTGGTTGTGGAGATTGTGTGGTGTGTTGTTTGGTGGTGTTTTGCTCTGTAAGTCTCTTTGTGTGGTCGTCTTGTTTTTTGTGGTGGTTTGTTTATATGTAGTTGTTGGCAATGAGTTTAGGGGGGGTTGTTGTAGATTTTGGCTTGTAGTTTTATGTTCTCGTGTTGAGTTGTGCTACTTTGTTGTTGTCTAGGTGTAGGTTGGTATTGTGGTGTCATTTTTTAGGATGGGTGTTTGGTGGTTGAATGTGTGTGTGGGAGAGGTGTATTGTGTGTGGAGGGTGGTTGTATTGTGTTGGGTCATTGTGGTTTAAAAAAAAAAAAAGTGGGTCTACTGGAGCTGTGTTGGACTGGTTAGTAGAGGGTCCTTTAGGAAAGCTGGCGAACGGTGTAATTGGGGTTGTGGTTTTGTGGGGATGTGGGTACATTGTTATTTCTTTGTTATTGTTATATATGTAAGAAAAACAAAAAGAAAAACAAAAGAGAACGCCCAACAAAAAACAACAGAGCGGACAACCCAACCGGACCCCAGCGCACAAAACGACGGAGCCATTGAGTAAGCCGGACGTCGCCGGCACTGGCAAGCAAAAGTTGGGGAACAGAGGACAAAGTTCTGATTCGTTCTCTGGACGATTCGGGTTGGGGCAAGTCAGGGATAAGACACCCGTACCACGGCATACACACTGAACTTAACCACTACAACTTGACTTAAGATTGCCGTTCTTAACTTTTTCCACATTCTTTTCCTTTAAAGAATCTCCCACATTTTCCTAACTACTACTCACATTTCAATTTACAACCCCCCCCCCTCATCACAAACCTCTTAATATATTCACCTTAGTGCTTGATTACTCTAGGAACACCAAATCAGCACTGTTAAAACCTTTGAAACGAGTGGTCAGAGACAGGCTGCTTAAGGCTGCTCAAAGTACCCAATATGGTTTGAAAATAGCAGCTAATTTCTGTAAAATTCTAAATTTAAACTTTATTGACAAGACCTGTATCTTCCACAATGCAGCATTCATTACAGCAATCACCTGTATTTAAATAATACATGACTGCAGTGTTTTGATTGCAATCTTTTACAGTCTGGACATGGATTAAGCCTAATCTTGGACTAAATTGCAATGCACAACTTTTCAGTGTACACGCTTTAAAAAGATGATAATTACAAGTTTGAACAGAACCCTTTTTGGTGCTACATAGAACCATTTTCAAAAAAGGTCTGTATAGAACCATATACAACCCATTCTCCATCAACCTGAAGAACCATTTCACCATGCAAAGAACCATTTAGGCATGAAATGGTTCCATATAGAACTCATGGTTCTAACATTCCTTTTACTAAAGAACCCTTGAAGAACCATCTTTTTTTAAGTGTGTAGATTTAGTCTGGTGTACATTGGTGTTGGTTGACATACATTCATTCAGTGTTTCTAAATCCAGTCCTCAGGATCCAGCCAGTCCACGTATTTGTTCTAGTCCATCTGCTATTAAAGGCTGTAGGGCTTATTTAGCATAGATGTTTCAGGAACTGGAAGGGAGCAAAAGTGTGGACTGGCTGGTGGTCCCAGTGGACTGGACTGTGAACATCTGCATTCATTTACATGTAAACTAATTCACACCAGTCATTAATAGATTCTTCTTGAGATGGAATGGCAACAGTTGCAACCAGGCTACTGGGGGCATCTATCTATCTATCTATCTATCTATCTATCTATCTATCTATCTATCTATCTGTCTATCTATCTATCTATCTATCTGTCTATCTATCTATCTATCTGTATACCAGCTTTACTCCTCATATTACTTCAGATTGTTCTCGCCTTGTAAACATCTACCGTTTTGATGTATGTATTACACAATTTGTCTTCTGTACTATCCTAATTCCCCAAAAACAGCAATTTATGAATCATGTTGGCTTTTTTTTCTCATGATATAGTAATCATGCCATCAAATCTAACAACAAACCTGCTGAATACAAAGCCAATTGAATGGGCTCCACCACAAAACCCAATCACTCAAAGTCAGCACCGATGCTGCCTTGAGTTGGCTGGGTCTGATGAAGTTCATTAGCGTGGGGAGCTATTTTTAAAGCGCCTCTCTTGGCAAGATGTCCCCAGACTGGTGAACTCCTCGCTTTGTGCCGTGTGCATGTCTCAACAATCCTCCAGCCCCCAACCAGAACACACAACTGTGTCAGCTTCACTCGCATCACTTCGCTCCACGTGACACACACTCTCACACACACAAGCCCATGATGGTACAGAACACAAGCCATACACTCCCACATTGAACAACTTTTAATACAGAATCACCATTTAAATAATAATTTAATTCAAGAAATGAGTGGAGGTCTACAGTTCTAACCCAACAGTCCACCACCATTCTGTACTAGCATATAAATCAGCTCCTATGTTTGAGTAAAATATGGCAAAATGATTCTCAGACACAATACTGTTCAGAAGTCAGAGGCCTCCCTTACACAAGAATTACACTGAAACCTCAACAACTAAATATTACATCAGTTGTTTCAGTATTTAAAGTGTCCATTCTCCAGCTTTATTTTGAGAAACTTGCTTCTAGGTTTTCAAAGAAATTTGCAGGAATCTTTTTCACACCTTCAAAGTTCAGTCTTAGAAGTTGGTTACACTTTCAGCTTCTCACGATCCAATCAACCTCAAACACATTCAGTGATGTTGAGGACTGGACTCCGGGGTGGTCAGTTCGTTCGTTCTTCTTTGCTTTGTTCAGCAACACATCCTTTCGGACCCACAGTTGTCTTGTCACAGTGGAAGGGTGGACAGAAACACCTGTGGGTTTTTTTTCACATCTGAAGCAGTTTGATTTTCTCTTATTTCTCCCATTTTCTATACATCTTTTAATATTTTTTTAAACCTCGAGTTATGAAAACTGTTTTAAACATGCTTTCCTTATGCAAATGGATGATCTAATATCCCCAGAAATGTAACCTGCAGCATGTTCAGACTGGAAAATTAAACACATTAAAGATGTTCTCTGACTTTGGCACAGTACTGTTCATTAATAACAGATTTGGCTAATCTACCAACCAACCACTGGCCATGATCTTTATCCCAGGCCAATTTCTCTGGAAGTATTTCTTCAGTTTACACGACGGCACTTGCCTAATGGAAGCATTAGCAGGTTTAGAGAGACAAAGTCTTGAAATCTAAACTGTGCATGTGTTTTCAGTCGTCAATGATTAAACATCCCGTTTAGCGCATTTCCCTTTTCCAACACTGGCTGCAATCTCATTAGCAACTCCCAGCAAGTAGCAGCCTTCACTTCCACATGCTGACTACATGTGTTCAAATGCATTAGAGTCAGCATTAAACCAACACTGCATGCCACAGTACATGGTACCCACCTGATCTAATATTGGTGTTGGCAGCTACACAGCGCTGATGTTTTAATGGAGTGTTTTTATTCTCCAACTCTTGAAAATTAAGGTTCCTAAATGGTTCTTGCCTTCGATACACAGCTCTAGGAGAAAAATCTCTAATTGGTATAGAAACATTATGTGGATGTTCTTTAAAAGTGGTTCTTTAAAGAGCAATCCACTGAAAGATTTTCCCCAAAAAACGCTTTTTGGCACCTTCAATTTTTAAGACTGTAACCCCGGTCTTCTATGAACAACCTCCAACCTATCGGTAGGACATCGTTTACTATTTGGACAGCGTCCAAGCCAGGTCCGCAGGGTCAAAGACTGGCAGCGAACGGAACATCACAGAGCCCAATGTGCTGATTCGCTTGGACTTCCTAAGGCCTCATCGGGCTGACAGTGTGAAACCGAATCGGGCCCGATCACTAAGCATTGACTACAACCCCCGGCGAATGACTGTATTGACCTGCTAACACAGAATGCACATCTATGGGTGAGCCAACAGTGCCATAAGGTGCCACTTGGGAAAGTTCTCAAGCCTCATTCCATGCGAGCTAATGAAACAGCCTCTAGCAGCTTTTAATAGAGTAAAATATGAGAGACACATTAATAATGCATTTCACTAATAGGAATGAATGGAGGTCTATAGTCCGAGCCAGATGCTGCCCTACATCTGAATCCCGGACATATTTCTTTGGAAGTATTTCTTCCATTTGAATGATATTACTAGCCTTAGCCTGTATAAGCATCCACAGCCTGTCTGTGAGCAACGCAATTGAAGTAATATCAACTAAAATAGCACTTTTAGAAAATTAGAGCATAAGACTTGCTATAAGCACAGCAGGTTCAAATGGAAAACAGGCAGCTGCCAGTTCACACCACAATACTTATTGTAGTCCTGTTGAAAACAAACACACGCTAACAACCAGCCATGGAAACACGCAGGCACGTGCGCAACCCCACCAAATAATGCGAGTTACATCTTGGCGCAACACAGATTATGATTGACAAGAACGCTCTGAGCGATGACAGGGGGTCCAAGCACCGGCGCTTACCTCCAGATTTGTCCGAGCTGCAAGATGTGGATGACGGACTGCATCAGCCAGATGCAGAAGGAGCAGGACGCCGAGCGTTTCTGGTTAGTCCGCGCTGCGTTGGTGGTGCTGCTGCTGCTGTTGCTGCTGCTGTTGGTGGCGGTGGTGTTGGTGTTGCTTTTGCTGGCCGTGCTGGCTTGCCTTTGAGGCGTGGACGGGTGGGCTGCTCCGACGTCGCCGTGCGAAGCCGAGCAGCTCAGGAGCTTGCCGTCCATGTGCGAACAGCCCGAGGACGAGGAGGAGCCGTCCGCGGTGCCGAAGTCGTGCACGAACCATCTGAAGCTGAAGACCTGCACGGAAAAAGAGCCGAGCACCACGAAAAAAAGCGTCAGGCCGAACCACCAGTAGTCTCGGCGCAGGTAGTAGTCGACGGACAGCCACACGTCCGTGCCCACGTCGGCGAAATACACGGTCACTGCGGCTAGAATCCACAAGCAGTCCCAGACCGTGTAGCGCTGCCGCTCCCTGCCCAGGCGCAGGCACGTCGAGTTGGAGCCGCCGCCGCCGCAGCAGCGCGAGCCTCCGTTCACGTTGAAGTCCGCCTCCCCGGCGCCCGAGTCCGGCTGCGAGCCCGGCGCGAGCCCCTGCACGGAGCCGGAGTGGTCCGAGTTCTGCAGAGGCGTGAACGCCACGTCGCTTTTCTTCATTTTCAGCACCCCGTCGGATTTAGCAGCCATTGCAGCGTCAACAACAGCGGCAGCAGCATCAACAGCGGCAGCGGCAGCGGCTTCTTCTGCTTCTGCTTCTGCTTCTGCTTCTCCTTTCCTTCGTCTTCCTTTTCTCTCTCCTCTTTCTCTCCTCCTCCTCCTCCTCTTCCTCTCTTCAGCTTCTGTCTTCCAGGCGGTGGAGGAGAGAAGACGGTGGGCTGGGCAACCTCCTGCTCCTCTCCTTCTCCTTCCGCCACAGCTACAGCGCCGCCTGCACGGCACAAAGCAACACTTCCTTTTGGTAGCGGGTACGAACCATATGCTCTCCCGTGGCTCATGCTTAAAACCATGACATCATTGCTTTGCAACTCGTCCCCACGCCTCTCTCCATCATGGTGCTTCGTCCGTGCTCGGCGCGCGCCCCAGATGCCACGGATTGCACGAGCGTCAAACGTCAAAACGCAGCCTAGCAACCTACCTTAGCTTTTTTTTTCACCACTGTGCCAAAGCTATTTTTTTGCGCTCAGACCTGAAAACTGAAAATATAGGGACTTTTATTCGTGCATTTAATGTTGACGTAAAGAAGTTGTGCTGACGCTGTTTGACTCACATTTAAGTTGATTTTTTTGGAGTGCGGGGACTTTTAAACATCGCTGCGGTTAGCCTAGGCAGGTTTAGCCCACCTTGTGAAAGGAAAACAGAACGAACATCTACAAAAATATCCCAACTCGAGCTTTGGTGGACGATTTAGGGTGAAGACTGGCTTCAAGTTCCCCTCGATGCTTTGATGAACGCTTGGATATCGTCCCTCATAAATCGAATATTCACCGCCGTTCTTGGCGTTTTGTGTGAACGAGGTTCAGCACCACGGACAGCTCCTCCGCTCGGAGAGACCGGGCTGGGCTGCTTTCAGAACCACGGACAGCTCCCGCTTATAGATTCTTCAGTACACAAAACAAACCGCATTTAGACGTTCATGTGCTCAGCACCGCCATTGTGCCGGCTGGGCTAACTTGCGTCATTATCAAATTTACTGGCACCCTTGAGGAGCTGGACGACGCGGTGTGTTGTCGACACGCCCTCTTGCACGCGAGCACACACACATAGACACGCTTTGTGAATCGACCAAAACGTTATCTGCCAACGTTTATTTATGGCAAGAAACCGTTGTTTTTGCAGATATCACGCCTTTGACCGAAAAAAAACTCGCTGTAAACATTTGCGACATATTTTGGGGGGCTGTAACACCGAGCCAGCATGAAAGGGGTGGTGTCGAAGTATTACTGTCAGAGACCACCGGTGGGCTGTCATGAATCGACTGAAGAGTGATGAATAAGGCTCATTAGCCACTAGGTTACATATATAGATGGTTTTAATCTTTGAAATATGCTTTGAATTTAATGAATGTATGTGTGTGCGCATGTGCAGACAGAAAACAAGGTGAACCTACAGCACCAACAAAATAATACTGACTTTGTGCTTTTAACTAAACTACATAACATAATTGCATGTATGCTTAACATATTTAGTGCACAAGTCAAAGTGGCCATTAAGTAAATTAAGTTATTTATTTTTCAGCATCAGGAAAACATTCATATATATATATATATATATATATATTATATATATATATATATATATATATATATGCATATGAAGAAAGCTTTAACAACTAAATGTAATATTATTTACAACCTTATATAGGATTTAGTGTTTCCACTCTTTGTCTTTATTACTGCTTCCTTTCTTTTCAGGCTACTCACTTTCAGCTTTTCAATAAAATCCGCAGTGATATTTTTCACGGCCCCAAAGTTCAGTGTTAGAGGTTGGTTACATTTTCTCATGAGTTACTTCCAAGTAAACACATTCAATGTTGTTGAGGTCTGGCCAGTGAGGTGGACAGTCTGTTTTCTTTACATCTTTTAAAAGAAATTGGGAAGTGTTTTAAAATTTATTTTCGTTTACTTTTTTTATTCCTTATACAAGATTATATAAGAGTATATAACTTGCTGAGGAGTTAATGGTTGCTTTAACAGAAAATAAAATGAATGAACGTGGTCTCTGACTTGCATATGTGTGTATATATATATATATATATATATATATATATATATATATATATATATATATATATATATGCTGTTTTTCAGTTTTTGACATCTAAAAATCTAAAAATGCCTCTTGCCCTTTACATTGTATGTAAGTTAAATCATAAATGGACCAAAACAAATAACCCCAAATTACGTAATTTTTGACAGCAATCAAGTTTTGTTCTGACAGCAGTGATAAACAGTATATATATATACACACACACACAAACAGTCATATAATAATAATAATAATAATAACAATAATAATAATACTTTTTACTTATATAGCACTTTTCATGCTAGTGGCACCTCAAAATGCTTTACAGACAGGTGATAAATCTTATAAGAAAATGATATAGATCAAATTAAAAGGTAAACACCACGAGACGTAGAGTTTTAATTAAATGCTAAGTTAAAGAGATACGTTTTTAGATGCTTCTTGTGCAGACAAATGTGGAGACAAAATGCCATGAGCATTGTGATTGAGCTCTGTGTGTATGAAATGTATATGAAACATATATGAAATTGAGATGTATGACCCCAGGTCTTGACATTACATAAAAACAAGCGACTGTGTGAGACAGAGATAGCTCAGTGTACAGTACACAATCTCCATGGTACTGTGCTGGCTCCTTTCCTCAGGCTGTCATTTCTGTGCCACCTGGTCAAGCTTTGGAGATGACACCATCTGTCATCATCAGCTGTGTCAGGCCTTGGCAGTTTGGCATGACTCGTGGGCTGGGCTTTAGTATGTCCATTTCAGGCACTATATGGCCAAAAGTATGTGGACACCCTTCTAATTATTGAGTTCAAATGTTTAGCCACATATGTTGCCAACAAGTGTATAAAATCAAGCACATAGCCATGCAACCTTCACAGACAAACACTGGCAATAAAATGGGTGGCACTGAAGAGCTTACTGACTTTAAATGTGGCACTGGCATAGGATGCTACTTAGTTTGTTAAATGTCTGCCTTGCTATATTTGCCCCAGACAACTGTAAGTGAAATAAAATTAAATGGAACTGTCCAGAAGCAGCCTTGCGATGGACTGGCGACCTGTCCAGGGTGTATCCTGCCTTCCGCCCAATGACAGCTGGGATAGGCTCCAGCACCCCAACGCGACCCAGAATGATAAGCGGTTTAGATGATGTATGTATGTATGTATGTCCAGAAGCAACAACTCCTCAGCCTAGCTCATGCATAGCTCATGTAAATCATGTACACTGTGCTGCATCACCCATTACAGAGTTCCAAACTGCCTTTAGAAGCTAAATTAAGCACAAAAACAGAGGAAATGGGTTTCCATGCCTGAGCAGCGGCGCACAAGCCTAAGATCACTATATGCAATGCCAAGTATCAGCTGGAGTGGTGTAAAGCATGCCACCACTGGACTCTCTGGAGTGATGAATCATGCTCCACTATCTAGCAGTCTGATGGATGAATCTGGGTTGGCAGAGGGCAGGAGAACACTACCTACTACAATGCATTGTGCCAACAGTAAGGTTTGGTGGAGGAGGGATAATGGGCTGGGGCTGTTTTTCAGGGTCCCTTAGTTCCAGAGAAGTGTAATGTTAATGCTACAGCATACAAAGACAATTATGCACTTCCAAATGTGTGGTAACAGTTTGGGGAAGACTCTTTCCTGTTTCAGCATGACTGTGTCCCTCTACACAAAATAAAGTCTACAAAGACATGGTTTGACCAGTTTAGTCCTGACCTCAATCCCACTGAACACTTTTGGGATAATTTGGAATATCAATTGTGAGCCAGGCCTTCTTGTGCAACAGCAGCGCCTGACCTCGCGAATGCTATTTATTTGATTATTTGTTTGTTTGTTTATTTCGTACTTTACAAAGTCAGGAGCGCTTTGCTGGTTCATCATCATCATTTTTATTTATGACGCCCTTTCCATGCTCAAGGACACTTTGCAAGAAATAGAGCTCATAGAACATGGAACACATTAACAACACAGAAAGTCATGAAAGACTAGAAGGTGAACATAATTCACAAACATAATGGAAGAAAGACTTGAGATGGCACTATGTGATGTATTCAAGGACAAAAAGGAAGAATGAAAAGACAGGAAAGAAGTGACTCATATTATATACACACATACTACATGTGTACATATGACCATGTGACTATGTTTTTAAATACACAAGCACTGGTGTATAGAATATATACATATTCTGACGAGACTGAAGAGAAGTAAACCTAATGTACTTCATATCCTCGGCACTCAGTTTCCATGCATTTGTGGTCCTTTGCCAGTTTTTTTTTGTACTTCAGCAAAAGCTTGAACTGCACATCTGGAACCACCTGTCTGCTGGGAAATGTCTGCTTGGGAGAGAATTGCTGACGCAGGATGATCACCTTGTGTCTTGTTGCTATGCTCATCCTTTCCGTAATGTAAGATTTGAAGGTTAAACTGCCACATCTATCGCAATCTCTTAGCATAGTTGCCCCTCACCCAGGTTTATTTCTGTCGACTTAGCTGTTTCTGTTACAGTTAATCAGTTTAGTTTAATTTGCACATAATGTCACTGGCCATTAGCACCTGTTTGTTGTGTTTGTTTAGTCATGAGTGGATCAGACACAGCAGTGCTGCTGGAGTTTTTAAACACCTCAGTGTTGCTGCTGGACTGAGAATAGTCCACCAACCAAAAATATCCAGCCAACAGCGTCCTGTGGGCAGCGTCCTGTGACCACTGATGAAGGACTAGAGGGTGACCAACACAAACTGTGCAGCAGCAGATGAGCTATCGTCTCTGACTTTACATCTACGAGGTGGACCGACAGGGTAGGAGTGTCTAATAGAGTGGGCAGTGAGTGGACACAGTGTTTAAAAACCCCAGCAGCACTGCTGTGTCTGATCCACTCAGACCAGCACAACACACACCAGCACACCACCACCACGTCAGTGTTACTGCAGTGCTGA